TTTCGCTTGTGGAACATAATAGCTTCGCAAAATTGCTTCTAGGAAAATTACGGTAACTGAAAAATTTCTTCAGTTATTAAACATATCAATGAAAACTCTTGCCAGATCGAAGACGACCTAAACGCGAATATCCTTTCACACATAAAGTGATTATGAGAAACTAGTTGACAACTGGCATAATAACGACTACACGCCATCGCATTATTGATAGGTCAATTCTATATTTTCCAAAAAAATATATCAAACATTCTTGAGGTTGACTAGCATTTAGGGGGACCTATGCGTGTACCTGCCATCGTATGGAAAAGACAGAAGAACAACTATAGGTCATGCTACTTCCGTGAATTTTTTAAACTTCCTGAGAAGTATGTTGTCCTTTAGAAAGATGAAAGTAATATAAATAAGGTGAGGCTTAATTCTTAACGAAAAGTAGATGCAAAGAAGAAAAACATGAGCATACAATTGAACACGCAGATGGAGAATAACACAGAGGGACGTACAGATGAGTCAACAGGTAAGTCCATGTTGCATATGGCCGAGCATTAATAATCGAAACAAAATTTTCCACTTGATAGGAATAATTTGGAAATGATTCTCTTAAGAAGGTATTCCTCAAGTATGCACGCACATAAATGGAATGCATTTATATTTTGAATATGAAGAGAAAAATATCGTCTACATAAAAAATGTATTAGCAAAAGATTACGAAATTTCTTTTTGGAGATTGCTTTCTACATTATATTTATTCATAATTGTTATCTAATCAATTAAATGCATAAAGCCGAACAAAATCTTTATCTAGATTAATTATTTATTTCAAAATATTTACATATAATAAAACAAGTAAAAATAATTATATATAACCTAAAGTAATTCGCTTAATACAATTTTCGATTTATTTTCTCGATAAAATGTCTAAAATTAAATCTTGCATATTTCCAAAGCTATACATTTCATTTCATTCATCCTTTTTGGGGGGAGGGAACAAAGAGAAGGATTGACGTCATCCAAATTTAGGAAAAAAACTCTATTATTCTTCACTTATTTTCGTCATAAAGCTTAGCTGTCGTGAGAACCGCCATACGGCGAGACAAGGCCTCCATGTTAAGCCACTATTACGAACCAATTTATATAATAAAAGTATTAAAAACTAGACAGTCTCCGCACACAAAGGATTACTTTTTATATGAAGTGATATGGGCGAGAGGATTAAAAAAATTGATCTTTCCGTTCCGTATTTTTCATATCACTTGAATATGCCAAACTATGTGAGCAAGTCGTCTTGAATGTGAACATATTTACTAAGGCATTACGCTTACCCGCAATCTATACTTGATAGCTCATTCTGCACTCTATGCGCACTGTAAGAGGTTAAAAGTAAATTCTTATTGAATATGATAGTATCCTGACCATGCCCACTTGAAATGGAACAATCAAACATTTTTGCGAAAATTCCTAATTTTAATAATTCGTATGCCTAAGGCCTTTTTGAGCTAAGAGCACAAATTTATTTTATGCTGTCATTAGCACATCAAATAAATCTTAATTAATTATAATTTAATGAGATCTTAATAATAATTTATTTTTATTTAATTCCACAAACATGCTACATATTCACCAAAAATGAAAACCAAAAAAAAGTTTACCATTAATTAAGTGCTTTAACGCCATAACTTATTAGCAATATGTACTGTCAAGTGTACTTCAATTATTTTCTCTTTTCTTTAATCAAAAAAGCTTTACAGACTTTGTTTCGTTTATTCGTTCTTTCATTCACACGCTCGTTTCATTTAATATATATGTATGTGTGCCTATCGTATATATATATATATATATATATATATATGTTATGTTCTCGAACATCGAGTTTTGATAGCGTATGTATGTATGGAGTAGCAGTGCGAGAAGCGAGAGTTAGGAATGAAAATCTGTTCGAACACAGCAGAACAACTACAAAGCAGTAACGAGAGTTAACTTTTCTCCGTTAATTTATATATATTATACATATATATATATATATATATATATATATATATATATATGTATACATGTATATATATTATTTTTATTTTTTTATTTTTTTTATTTTTTTTGATTTCATTATTATTATATATAAGTACGTAGGTGTATACATATGAAAGGACAGCGGGATGTAAGTATTCAATCGTGTACACATGCACACGCAAAAGTTAAGTCGTATAGTCATACATTATATACAGAAATTATTAACAGAGATGTGTGCGTTTAATTGCCTTTGGGTTAAGTGTGTATTTTTCATTCTCTCATGAAGTTTTTATGCGAGTAATACTTTAATTTTTATATGTTGTAGGAGCAGCAGTAATTTTTACAAGACATGACATTTTCAGTTCATACGCCACGGTGTCCCCTTTTAACAAACTGGATCAATTTTATTTATTTATTTTATTCTTACTATTCTTTCTATTGATATGAGCGAGCCATGGCCAAATATAACATATATATATATATATATATATATATGTATATCCGTATATGTATATATGTGTATGATTATGCTCTAAATGATTGGATTGTAAGACTAGTACTAAATATATAGAAATAGAATACCGTCGAAATTTCTGTGACTGAAAAGGGCATTAATCACCCATCAATCTTGACTCAAGGATGACTATGAAAACTTTTCGTGCAATCAACATTTTGGTTGCAAACAGCGACTTGTGAGACTCTGTAAGACGGGAGTCCGACAAGACATCGCTCACGAGCTGCAAGAACATCACTTTCCTCGGCTTGCCACGCAAAACTCTTCTCTTTTTGCATCGCTCACGAGCTGCAAGAACATCACTTTCCTCGGCTTGCCACGCAAAACTCTTCTCTTTTTGCAACCCACAAGCAATAAAAAGTTGACATTTCCTCGCTTCGAAATGACATTTTCAATCAATTTGTACGGTAGTGATTTCTCCTCCTTTTCGCTGACCAAAATGCATGCAAGCACCTAATCAATAAATAAATGAAAAAAAATTTGTAACACATTTGTAAAGTTGTTTGAAGCTCTTCTCAATTAACGATAAAACAAATATGAAAGCAAAAATTAACAAAAAGAAAAAAAAAACATGCGGTTTTTGTATAATTGGCGGGAATTTTCTGTCGAGCTTTGCAAGAACCATGTCAAGGGAGGGACGTTTGCGTTTTATGCGGGATGACGAAAATAACTGTAAGCTCCGTCTACGCATTAGATCACTTTAATAAATATATGTATTAGACATGTATGAATCATCGTTTAAGGTGCCTCAAGACCAAGAACTTAGTCGCACCAATTTTGCCTAAAATGTCTTCCCGATATTCTTTTGGCCTGCGGCTATTTTGCGTGTCACAATCTTTTCTACATATAAAACTGTGTATATGTTAGTTTATATTGTTGATATAGATATACAGACTTACAATTTTTCGGGTAACTTAGGAGGTTCTAGAGCGTCCCGCAAGAATCCTTCTCCACCAATCTCGATGTTTCTCGATTGCCATTCAATGTAATCGCAGCAAAGGAAACATTCCGTCTGCTATATATATTTCCTTAATATTACGTCGTTTGTTTTTTGGTTGCTTAGTAGAATGGATTAGGGCTGTTGGCGATAAAACTCCTCATATGCAATAAAGTGATTAATTTTTTTTATTTTGTTGATCTTTGACGCTTTATCAACGTCAGCGATACTATATATGTAATGATGTACGGAAAGATTGACGATACATAAATTGATTGATTACAAGCATTGGCGAATTAACAGTATTGATTGGACAAATGAAATGAAAAGAGAATAATTTACTTACCTTTCATAAATTTAAAATTTTTTTTACTTTGGTTCAATTGTTTGTTTGAAATTTATTTAATTTTCAGTTTACAGCTGTTTTTTTTTTTTATTATAAATACAACTCTAAGCAATCAATGCTGAGTCAGAACAATTTGACAATTTTTGAGTAAGCGATTCACGCACCTCTTGTGCCTATATATATATATGTTATATATATATATATGTTATATATATATATATATATATATATATATATGTATATATATATATATATATATATATATATATGTATATATATATATA